ACCTGGGGATGGGTTTTGGGGGGTTTTGCCGGGTTGTGGGTTTTGCCTTTTGCATTTTGGTTTCTGAGATTTGGAGGACGGTTTTACTTTTGCTTCGTCTTTTTGGCTGGCTTTACTGGCTGGGCTGGGTTGGGCTGGTAGGCTGGGTTGGGCTGGTAGCTGAACTGCGCTGGGCTGGCTGGGTGGGCTGGGCGGGGCTGTGCTGCCAAGCTTGATCTGGAGCTGCTGAAGCCTCCGCAGCTCTTGCGATGGAAGGCAATGCTCACACAGTTTAATGCTTGTCATGAAGACTTGGAGCATGTAAGGCCCACGCATACAGGAGAGCCGAATAACATGGGCAGCTATCTGCGACAGCCAGCAGCTGAGCCCAAACGTGGGGCCACAGTGTTGTGGCATGCAGCACTGGGCGGTCAGCACAGCAACCCGAGCACGCATGCAATTTGGCAATGTCTCGGCTGAAGGTAGTTCATGTACAGAAACTGTTCGACTTGTATTCCTAATTTTATCTTATGTCTTCCAGGTTCTAAATTTGCCCAATAAATGACGCGTGCAGCTTTTTCCTTCCGTGATCGCCGATGCGTTAGCTATGAGCCTGTGCAATTGCTCGCGGCCTGTGGCTCAGCTGGAAATTGACAAAAGCTGCGCACTGTATGCACACTGTACCTGCATGCTTAGCTGCAATCTTAGATCAAGCGAATTGCAAAGGTCGGGTGCTGCCTGATTGAGGCTGCCAGCTCGACGTCCGACAGCACATGTGGAGCCCGGCAAAGGGAATCTAGGCACCAAATGCGTCCGTTCCAATGCCGCAATGCAGTCCAGTGCTGGCCGCCGTGGTTCTGAATCGCCCCGATGCAGTTGTGAAGGTCTTCGGGTTCCAGGGCTCGGCGATCTTCCATGTGCCAGCATAGACGCTCGAAGAGCTCCATGGACCTCGTCCGCACGGCCATGATCAGCACCTCGATGGAGTAGTCGCCGCCAGGCCCCATGTGAGCTTGCTGCTCGTCCCCGACTTCCCAGTTCTCCTCGAGAAACGATGCGACTGCATGCTCCATTGCTGCAACGTCAAAGTATGGGGCACCGAAGACGTGGTTCAAAGCATGGATGCCGCACCGCAGCTCCACCTGGGATTCAAAATAAATGGCAGGCGAGTCCTGTGTCTCATGTCGTCGGCTTGTATCTGTGCTGGCAGGCTCGGCGCAAGCATCTTGGAGGTCGGTCCTTGGTGGCTTGGTTGTGGAAGTTGAACAGGCGGCCATGGATGGTGCGCTGCTGGAGCGGCTCTCTGTCTTTGCCCGCTTCGACGCAAGGTCGCAGCGGCTGCCAGCATCAGCGTATCGCTTAGTCCCCACCAGCTTGGACATCTCGGGCCTGATCTTGGCCTTTGCTTTGCTTGATGCTGAGGCCTTTGCCTTGGACTTGTTCTTCGGCTGGGACTTGGGCTTGGGTTTGGCTGGGCACTTTTGTCGGTGTTGCTTGATGGCGAGCTTGGTGTTTGGAGTCTCCGTTCCGCAGTCCGGGCAACACCAGGGCCGGTCGATGCCTTCGTTCGAGTCTGGCTCGAAACGAGCCCAATTGGGCTTCCCCAACTCAGCCAGGCGGCGCTCGTAGAAATCCTTGGTCTGCTGTGGCATGAACAAAGCTTTCCATATCGGCGGGCCGTCACGTTCGGCTTGCTGCACCTTCAGCTTGGTCAAGGCCCACTCTGCCTGGGCATTGAATCGGAAGGGAGGCCGTCAATAGGGCATGGGAGGGGGAGGGAGGGGGAGGGGGAAGGTCGGCTAGCTCCTGAACTGCATACCTTCAGGTTCCTGTTTTGTTTGAGGAAAAGCTCTCCGGATAAGCCCTCTCAGCCTTGTCGCTGAGACCACACACCTCGGCAACCCACATTGGTTGAGGCTCAAGCTTCCATACCCTGGATTGTCCTTGCCTCTGTCTTCTTCGGCTTGAGCTCCCACACCTCGGAACCCCATACCGGTTGAGGATAAGCCTTCCCGCCTTGTCTCTGCCTCTGTCTTCTTCGGCTGGAGCTTCCATACCCCGGAAACCCACATCGGTTGAGTATAAACCCTCCCGGCCTTATCCTTGCCTCTGTCTTCTTCGACTTGTGAGCTTCCACGCCTCGGAAACCCGTACTAGTTGAGGATAAACCCTCCCGGCCTTGTCGTTGCGCTTCTGCAGCTTGAGACCCCACGTCTTGGAAACCCATATTGGTTGATGATACACCCTCCCGGCCTTGTCCTTGCCCTTCTTCAGCTTGAGCTTCCACGCCTCGGAAACCCATACTGGTTGAGGATGAGCCCCCCCCCGGCCTTGTCCCTACCTGTGTCTTCTTCAGCTTGAACTTCCACACCTCGGAACCCCATGTTGGTTGAGGATGGGCCCTCCCGGCCTTGTCCTTGCCTCGGAAACTTATATTGGTTGAGGATAAGCCCTCCCGGCCTCGTTCTTACCTCTGTCTTCTTCAGCTTGAGCTTCCTGGGGCCACGCACTTCGAACCCCGGCCTTGTCCTTGCCTCCGTCGTCTTTTTGCTGGGGTCACGCACCTCGGACCTCATATTGGTTGAGGCCTCGTCCTTTCTCTTTTCTCCAAGATGAAACCATGCACCTGGGAGCCTATCTTGGTTGAGGATAGGCACTCCGGCCTCTCCTCGCCTCCGTCCTGTTCGAGTTGAGACCACGCACCTCGGACCCGATATTGGTTGAGGAGAAGTGCTCCGGCCTGGTTCCCGCCTCCATCCTCTTCAAGTTGAGACCGCGCACCTGGGACCCCATATTGATTGAGGATAGGCACTCCGGCCTGGTCTCGGCTTCTGTTCTCTCCAGACCACGAACCTGGGAACCCATGACAGTTGAGGATAGGCGATCCGGCCTTGTCGCCGCCTCTGTCTTCTTCAGGTTGAGACCACGCGCCGAGAACGTATTCTGAGAGTAAGTCCTTCGAGCTTGTTGTCGCCTCCTCTTGAAGCTCGCCTTCTTCTGGCTTCAAGCACCTGGCACTGATGCACGCTGCGGTAGGGCACGCACCTAGGAGCCCATATCGGTTGAGGATAAGTGCTCCGCCCTCGTCCCCACCTTCACCTTCTTCGGGCCGAGATCGCGTACCTGGGACTCCACGTTGGTCGAGGATAAGCGCTCCGGCCTCGTCCCCGCCTCCGCTTTCGCACCTGGGACCCCATATTGGTTGAGGATAAGCGCTCCGGCCTCGTCCCTGCCGAGCACGCACCTGGGACCCCAGCTCCGGCCTCGTCCCCGCCTCCGCCTTCTTCGGGCTGAGACCACGCGCCTGGAACCCCATATTGCGCCGGCCTGGTCCGCGAGAGCACGCACCTGGGACCCCATATTGGTTGAGGATAAGCGCTCCCGCCTCCGAGCACGCGCCTGGAACATATTGGTTGAGGAAAAGCGCTCCGGCCTCGTCGCCTTCTTCGGGCTGAGACCACGCACCTGGGACCCCATATTGGGTGAGGATAAGTGCTCCGGCCTCGTCCCTGCCTCCGCCTTCTTCGACTGAGACCACGCACCTGGGACCCCACATTGGTTGAGGATACCTCACTTCGGTCTTCTTGGGGTTGGGACCACGTACCTGGGACACCATGCAGGCGAGCCTGCACAGCTTCGTTCCCGCTCCCGGCCTTTTTCTTCTTGAGGATACGCACCTGGCACTCCACGCTGGTTGCGGTCTAAGTGCAGAGCGAGGGGGAGGGAAGGGAGCGGGGGAGGGAAGGGGGGGAGGGAGGGGGGGGACCCTCCGGAGGGGGACACCGGGTGGGGGGGGAGGGAGGGGGAGGGTGGGGAGGGGTGCGGGGGAGCCCCACACCCCATTTTAGTTGAGGATTGTTTTTTGGTGTCTGCCCACTACCCCCCGTGAGACTCGTGCCACCCTCCGGAGGAGGCACCGGGTGGGGAGGGGGAGGGAGGGGGGAGGGTGGGGGAGGGGGGCGGGGAGGGGCGGGAACCAACGCCCCATTTTAGTTGAGGATTGTCTTTTGGTGTCTGCCCACTACCCTCCCGGCCCAGGAGGGGGGGGGGGAGGGCGGGGGAGGGGGGGCGGGGGGGAGACCCCGCACCCCATTGATTTCTGCCACTACCTTCCTGAGAATTCGTGCCACCCTGCCACCTCTGGAAGGGAGGCCGTCAATAGGGCATGGGAGGGGGAGGGAGGGGGAGGGGGAAGGTCGGCTAGCTCCTGAACTGCATACCTTCAGGTTCCTGTTTTGTTTGAGGAAAAGCTCTCCGGATAAGCCCTCTCAGCCTTGTCGCTGAGACCACACACCTCGGCAACCCACATTGGTTGAGGCTCAAGCTTCCATACCCTGGATTGTCCTTGCCTCTGCCTTCTTCGGCTTGAGCTCCCACACCTCGGAACCCCATACCGGTTGAGGATAAGCCTTCCCGCCTTGTCCGCTGGATTTGGTTGGACACGTTTAGCGAAAATTTGAAACTATTGCAACTGCAGATCGAAACGAAAATCACACAATTTCTATTTATCCTGCTCTTGAGGGTTTAGGGTTTAGGGTTTAGGGTTTAGGGTTTAGGGGTTTAGGGTTTAGGGTTTAGGGTTTAGGGTTTAGGGTTTAGGGTTTAGGGTTTAGGGTTTAGGGTTTAGGGTTTAGGGTTTAGGGTTTAGGGTTTAGGGTTTCCCATCGTAAGCGGCGCGCCTCGACCCAGAGGGTCGCGGGGCGGCGCGCCGAGCTGGACGCGACATCCCACCCCAAGACCACCCAGACATCAAATCTATTAGGGTTTAGGGTTTTTATAAGAGATATCTAGCAAATTGGCTTTGAAGTTGAAATATTCACCGCAAGCCATTTTTTCGGAGAGTAACTAACCAAGCAACGTTTTTTTTTGCGACAGTGTAACAACTAACCGCCAAGCAAGCGTTTTTAGGGCAGATATTGTCGAGGCGCTTCGAATCGCAGCCACGCGGCGCGGCGTAGGCGGAAAAGTGCGGGAAGAATTTCCGCGGCTTCGCAGGAAGAGGAAGTCGTGAGCTTCCCTTCACTTGGCCGGGATCAAATGGTCGGCATTGACAATACCACCTATAAGGTAATTTTCGTCCCTGGCCACCCTGGATAGCGCAACGTAGGCTGCGGCACGGCACCACCGGCGGTTGAGCCAAAGTGTGACATGCTCCAGTTCCGCACCTTGGAATTTGTAGATGGTGCCTGCGTAGCCCGTACGGATCGGGAAATACACGGCACGCCCGCAGGGAACGTCCGTGTCCGTGTACCGATAAATGGCCAGTCTCCTGCCTGTTTGTGTGCGGACGCGTAGGCAGCCGGTGGTCGGAAAGTAGCCTTCCACCGTGGCCACCATGCCATTCACGTAATGGTTCTCTTTGTCTCGATTGCGAGTCAAGACAACCCTGAGGCCTCTGTACAGCTGGACTGGGTTCGGCAGCGGGGCACGATCGCGACGAAGGTTGCCGTATTCGTCGAAGTTCTCTTCATTGTCGTCATAGTCGCCCGGAATCTCAGCCAAAAGCTGCTGCTTCCGGTTGGAAAAGAGAACTTGTACGGCCAGGGCATTGATGCTAGCGGCCCCCCTCTTGGTGCAGGTGACAAAAGTCGTCTTTCCGCCGGTGCGCTTGAAAACGGAATCGATGTCAAGGCTCGTAGGCTCGTCGTGACCGGTCCAGGCCTTGTGCTGGTAGCACAAGCGATTCACGAAGCGCTTGCCTTCCTGGCCAAGCGGCTTGTGATGACGCAGGAAATCCAGCTTGGCTTGCAACACGGCGCACTTGCAACGCCGTACCTCGGTCAAGGTCACTACGTGCGTAAAGCGCCACTGTGCGTGATCGCAGGCCTGCTGCGGATGGATGCTCGGAAGTTGGCAGTCATCGCCCATAAGCAGCAAGAGAAGCTGCTTGCCCGTCGCGCAGAACATGGCATGCAGGCGCCCATACTCCTCCGCGCTGAGTTGCAAGGCTTCGTCAATGACCACCATATCGTACTCGGCCATGAGAGCAAGGGTCTCAGATTCTGGCCGGTAGAACAGGAAGGCGCCGGCGCAAGTGTCGACGTGAATGTCGGGGTGGCGCTGGCGCATGCGACAGGCCAGCTGTCCCGTCGGCAGCGCGTAGAGCACACGGTGGCCCCGCCGCACAGCCACGCGGACGAGGTAGTCGGCGACGAACGTCTTGCCCGTGCCAGGGCCGCCCATGCACACCAAGACGCTGTTCTGCTCCTCGAGGCGCAAAGCCGCATCATCGGCCTCTGCCGGTGTCTGCGCGTCCTTCAAGGCTTGAATCAAATCCAAGCGTTCTAGCGCGCACCGCTCCAAGACTTGCTGCTGTCGGTTGAAGCAGGGACGCTCCAGCCCGAGGGCACCCGGCAGCGCAGGCAAGGCTGGCTCGGGCACTTCGTCTTCGAGCGAGATGTCGCCACGTAGGTATTGATCCACGATCTCACGCTGAGCATCCAGCAGAGCGAGGAAGTTAGCTATGGTCGCGTCCTTGTGAGCGGCCAGCTGCATGTCCTCCCGCACCCGTGCTCTGTCCGTCCAGTAATCTCCAGCGGCGCGCCAGGCGCAAGCGAAGAGCTGATAGCGCGTGGGGATCTTCGCGACGATATCGGGGTACAAGAAGTCTGCGGCGCTGCGGAAAGGCACGTGCAGCATCAGCCACTGACCAAAGTACTTGTCGCTGAACACGCTCACCGTCTCCGCTGCCACGACCTTCTCGCCGAACGTCGTCTGCACACTCGCGAACTCACCCAAGTCCAGCGCCGAGTCAGCAGCGGCATGGAGCTTTTGGATCCAAGCGACCACTTCTCCAGCAGCATTGGTTTTCCGAAGATACTCGAGGAGCGACATGCTGTCACTGCGCCAGAGACATTCCTCGTACCGGCGCACGAACTCCGGCTGCGCGTCCATCGTCGGCCAGGGTGCTACGATCGGCAGCATGGTGCCTCCCAGTGCAAAATCAGGAAAGAGCTGCTTGAACAGTGTCACCCACATTTCGGGCTCGGACGGATGCAGCGTGCTGAGGATGCGGAGAGCCATCCCGTATCCCGAGACGCCGGTGTCGGCCAGCATCTCGTTGTGGAAGCTGCTGCTGAACTTGACATTATAAGTGGCAACATACCGCATGAGCAGCCCGCGACCGCCGGATCCTGCCGCCTGCGGTGCTATGTTGTCCACATGGCCTTTGAGTATATCCACTTCCTCCAGCCCGTACGCGCGGACACCCTGCTCTGCGTCCTGCTCCGTGTGGTGCAAACGCACGACTTCATCGACCGTGTCCCAACAGGACGGCGCTTCGTGCACCGGCCAGCCGCTGCCACTGTAGCTCAGCTGGTCCAGGACATACCCGCAGAGTGGGTGGCCTTCCGGTGGCGGGGTTGCGTGCAACTTCTCGTGCAACCGCACAGCCTCCGGCTTTTCCACGAAGAGGACTGCGTGCAGATGAACGGCACCGCGGCCGTGGTAGGCCTGAGTCCCGGCCTTTCGTTTGCCGTCCTGATACTCCAGGCGCGCGGCAAAGTTGATGCGACGACCGCCGCACAGGAGATGCTTTTGCCAAAGCTTGCTGCTTTCGCCGTGCTTTCGACTGCCTCCTGCTACCCACTCGCGCAGGAGCTCCAGAAGGATGTGGGCAAGATGCAGCGTCTCCGGGCCCTCCAGGTGTAGCCTGGAACGAAGCAAGTGGCGCATCTGATGGAGCAAGGCCTTGTGATAAGGTGCGCTCCATTCGTATGGTGCCCATGTTTTGAAGAGGAATGGGTAGCCGCATTGCCGTTGCAAGTCGATAACGGCAGCATGCCGCACGGCCCAATATGCCGGCGTGAAGGGCGAGCCCTTGAGCAAAATACGCATGGGCAAGTGGGGCTGCACGTGTCGCTTGCTGCCGAAGTCACTCCAGAAGGCTAAGTCAAACACGTATTGCAGCAGTTCGTACTCGCCAGCGTAATCCAGGATCGGCCCAAGAACCTTCTTCAGAAAACTGCGGCGCAGGCTGCCGCGGCCGGGGTCGTCTTCACGTTCTCGGTCGTCGTCGTCGCTGTCTTCCTGGAGCAAACCCTGGCGCTGGAGCCGTCGGGCATCCGTCGCTCTTTCCACAGACTCGCACAAGTCGGAGTTGTAGTACAGGTCTGGCCACAGGGCGGTTTCTATGCCGGGAGTTTCCAGCGTCTGCAGCGGGCGGCGACGAGCTGCGTCCGTCGGCATCGGATGGTCTCGGAGGAAACGACGATGCTGCGTCACAAAGTTCCTATACTCGGAACACGAGTGTTGCATCAAGAACTTGAAAGCTTTCTTCGCCTTCGTTCGCCACGTCCGGTGCTCGAGCGCAGCAATTTTCGCTTCCACATCCGTGTCGGACCAAAGCAAGCGCAGCAAGGCGGTGTGCACACGATATCCGTGAGGTGGACGTTGATACGGCCCACAGTCGATGTCGAAGGGTCGAAGGGCAGCCACCACATCATGGCAGAGACCCCGCAGCTGCCGTGGTACGCGGTCAACGGTGGGCACCGACTCCACGCCGTCGCGGCGACACCACCGACAGTTGGGCACGGCCGGATCGGCCACGCGGCGCGTGTCCACTTCTTTGAGATGCCTCGGCTCCAAAGAAAAGCATCTTTCGCAGATAGCCCAAGCTCCTTGCTTACACCAGTCCTCCAGCATGGTTGCAAACGGAGTAATGGCTGCACGAGGAAGGCCGGTGTCGTTGTCGGCAACGTCTCGAACGCTTTCCGCCGCTTCGTCCGTCCAGGGGTTGGACCACTGCCGACCGGTGTGGCGCACTTCTTTCGGCCGTGCGGGAAAGAACTTCCGGCGCACACGCACACGGTCTTCCGTCGCCCGCCGACTGTACGTAGCAGCCTCTGCTTCGGGCAGCGCCGGCCCTCGCAGGCGTCTTCTGTGAGCTAGCAGCCGCTCCCATCGCTGCTCCACGGTCTCCGCCGCGGCTCGCCGACGCGCCTGCCGCACCCGGCGCGGCTCCTGCGCCAGCCTAGCCTCGAAGTCTTCCAAGTGCTCTGCCGGAATTGCTTTGAAGGCTTCGGCCACAAGGTCAGGATCCGCGGCTTGACGCTTTCGCAGCATTGCCAGTATGCGTCCCCGGCCTTGCGACGTCGCGACAGCCGTGCGCAGGCTTGCTGCCGAATGGAAGGCAGCTGAAAGCCCCAGGACTTGCAGCGGCCAGTGCAGACGCACCGTCTCGGGCAAGCGGCCGACGGCTTTGTGGTAGACAGCTTTGTCATGACCCCAGAAGAATCGCAAGGAACGACTCAGCTGACCGCGCCCGCGCTCGCTCGTCAAGCCAGCCTGAAGCAGTGCTTCATTACACCAGGGACATTGCCGCGAGACATCCTGGTACCGAGCTCGCTGTCCAGAGACCCGCGTCGAAAAGCAACATGGGTCGCCAGGACGACCGTGGCAGAGGTTGGTCGTCGCCGCAGAAGCAGCAGGCCGCTGGATAGGCCGTGCGGCAGGTTGTCCCTCCACGATCGGCACGATGGGTTGTTCCATCACTCGGCGACGGCGCGGCCAGGCCGCAGCAGGCTCGGCAGCAGGCTCGGCAGCAGCGGGGCGTTTCGACATGGTGGTCGGTCACGGCGAGCAACTATGCACGTCTCTGTGAACCAACAGCGGACATAATGCTGGAAGCCAGACTCAAAGACACCCTGCAGAACACAATGTTGGCTCCTAAGCAGTCACCCAATGCAATCAATCCAGCTACAGAAGAAAAGCCTGGGAAGGCGTAACTGTCATGTCTGAGGCGCGCCGGAGGAGCACAAGTCTAGCAGCAGTAGCAGCAATAGCGGCAGTAGCAAAAGTACTTGAAGGGTATGGTCACAAATAAAAGAAGCCAGCATTAGCAGTACGAGCAGTAGCAGCAGCAGCAGCAGTCGGAGCAGTAGTATAGGAGTTGGAAATAGTGAATAGCGGTACGAGACAGAAGCGAACCAAAAACGTATCACAAGTAGCAGGTATGCAACAAAGAAAAGAGAGCAGGAAGCTCACAGGGAAATTGGCCAGGCATATGTGCGTCCCGACCAGCACGGCCCTTACGGGAAAGCTTTCTTACAGGAGCTCGTTGCGGTCCCTTCACAGAGAAGGACGACGAAGAGAACCGTAAAGCGGCCTCTTACGAAAAGGCCTTTTCAGGAAAGCTTACGAAAAGAGTCTGTTACGGCACAACTCCAACCCAGAAGGCCCCTTGCAAGAAGGGTCGGGAGTGGTCCTTCATAGAGAAGGACGACGAAGAGGATACGGTGTCGTGGCCTCCTGGGTCCCCTCACAGAGAAGAACGACGAAGTGCCCGTGAGAGCCCTTGCGGGAAGGGTCCCTTACCAGAGAGCTCCTTGTTGCAGGCAGTGGTTTCCGGAGTGGGTCCAGATTGGACGCACGCGGTCTCCTTCATTAAGAAGGCAAACATAGCCGGCCGAACCGACCGTCCGTACGGGCAGTGAGTCCAAGGCAAAGATAAGGGCTCAAATTAGACGTAAGGTGTCTCCTTCATTAAGAAGGCAAAGATAGGGGAGCGCCGTCCGTGCGGGCAGTGGGGGCCGCCCGAACCGGCCGTCCGTACGGGCAGTGGGGTCCTCCTTCAGTAAGAAAGCAAAGATAAGGTATGGGCCCAAATTGGACGTAAGGTGTCTCCTTCATTAAGAAGGCAAAGATAGGGGAGCGCCGTCCGTACGGGCAGTGGGGGCCGCCCGACCCGGCCGTCCGTACGGGCAGTGGTGGTCTCCTTCATTAAGAAGGCAAAGATAAAGGAGCACCGTCCGTACGGGCAGGGGGCCGCCCGAACCGGCCGTCCGTACGGACAGTGGGGTCCTCCTTCATTAAGAAAGCAAAGATAAGGGAGCGCCGTCCATACGGGCAGTGGGGGCGGCCCGAACCGGCCGTCCGTACGGACAGTGGGGTCCTCCTTCATTAAGAAGCCAAAGATAGGGGAGCGCCGTCCGTACGGGCAGTGGGGGCCGCCCGAACCGGACAGTGGGGTCCTCCTTCATTAAGAAGGCAAAGATAAGGTATGGGCCCAAATTGGACGTAAGGTGTCTGCTTCATTAAGAAAACGATGGGGGAGCGCCGTCCGCGCGGCGCCGTCCGTACGGGCAGTGGGGGCCGCCCGAACCGGCCGTCCGTACGGGCAGTGGTGGTCTCCTTCATTAAGGATTAGGGAGCGCCGTCCGTACGAGCAGTGGGGGCCGCCCGAACCGGCCGTCCGTACGGGCAGTGGGGTCCTCCTTCAGTAAGAAGGCAAAGATAAGGTATGGGCCCAAATTGGACGTAAGGTGTCTCCTTCATTAAGAAAGCAAAGATAGGGGAGCGCCGTCCGCACGGCGCCGTCCGTACGGGCAGTGGGGGCCGCCCGAACCGGCCGTCCGTACGGGCAGTGGTGGTCTCCTTCATTCAGAAGGCAAAAATAAAGGAGCGCCGTCCGTACGGGCAGTGGGGGGCGTCCGTACGGGCAGTGGTGGTCAGCTTCATTAAGAAGGCAACGATAAGGGAGCGCTGTCCGTACGGGCAGGGGGCCGCCCGAACCGGCCGTCCGTACGGACAGTGGGGTCCTCCTTCATTAAGAAGGCAAAGATAAGGGAGCGCCGTCCGTACGGCCGCCCGAACCGGCCTCCTTCATTGAGAAGGCAAAGATAAGGGAGCGCCGTCCGTACGGGCAGTGGAGGCGGCCCGAACCGGCCGTCCGCCCGAACCGGCCGTCCGTACGGGCAGTTCCGAAATGCGGCCGCGGACCCGCCGTCCATACGGGCACCTGGTGCGCAGGGCCGTCCATACGGGCAGTGTGCAAGGTCAGCCTGCGAGCTGCCAAGGGGTGCACACGGCCCCGTCCGTACGGACAGTGGGGCCGTCCGACACGCCCGTCCGAACCGGCCGTTCGTACGGGCAGTGCGGTCCAGCCTGCGGATTGCGAAACGCGGCCGTCCACGGGGACTGGGGCGTACAGGGGGCGCAAACAGCCTGCAGATGGGGCCAGCCGGTGACCGCCAGGGAGCATACGCGGCGCCGTCCGTAGGGACAGTGGAGTCCAGCTTCAAAACTTCACAAGCCAGTTAGGATCCCGACCCTAGGGTTTAGGGTAATAAAATATACTATTATTTATTTTCACGCTGGAAGCGTAATGCACCCTCCGAAGTGAACGAATGCGGGTACGGAGCACGAAGCTAACTCTTCGCGCTCAAGCTGCAGGCAGTAAGCATCCGTTCTTGAAACGGATGCCGGTGCTCAGCGCACGTGCGCTGGTGATGCCATAGGCTCCTAGACGTCGCGACAGGCATCACCAGCTTTAGTTTAGGGTCTAGGGTTTAGGGTTTAGGGTTTAGGGTTTCCCATCGTAAGCGGCGCGCCTCGACCCAGAGGGTCGCGGGGCGGCGCGCCGAGCTGGACGCGACATCCCACCCCAAGACCACCCAGACATCAAATCTATTAGGGTTTAGGGTTTTTATAAGAGATATCTAGCAAATTGGCTTTGAAGTTGAAATATTCACCGCAAGCCATTTTTTCGGAGAGTAACTAACCAAGCAACGTTTTTTTTTGCGACAGTGTAACAACTAACCGCCAAGCAAGCGTTTTTAGGGCAGATATTGTCGAGGCGCTTCGAATCGCAGCCACGCGGCGCGGCGTAGGCGGAAAAGTGCGGGAAGAATTTCCGCGGCTTCGCAGGAAGAGGAAGTCGTGAGCTTCCCTTCACTTGGCCGGGATCAAATGGTCGGCATTGACAATACCACCTATAAGGTAATTTTCGTCCCTGGCCACCCTGGATAGCGCAACGTAGGCTGCGGCACGGCACCACCGGCGGTTGAGCCAAAGTGTGACATGCTCCAGTTCCGCACCTTGGAATTTGTAGATGGTGCCTGCGTAGCCCGTACGGATCGGGAAATACACGGCACGCCCGCAGGGAACGTCCGTGTCCGTGTACCGATAAATGGCCAGTCTCCTGCCTGTTTGTGTGCGGACGCGTAGGCAGCCGGTGGTCGGAAAGTAGCCTTCCACCGTGGCCACCATGCCATTCACGTAATGGTTCTCTTTGTCTCGATTGCGAGTCAAGACAACCCTGAGGCCTCTGTACAGCTGGACTGGGTTCGGCAGCGGGGCACGATCGCGACGAAGGTTGCCGTATTCGTCGAAGTTCTCTTCATTGTCGTCATAGTCGCCCGGAATCTCAGCCAAAAGCTGCTGCTTCCGGTTGGAAAAGAGAACTTGTACGGCCAGGGCATTGATGCTAGCGGCCCCCCTCTTGGTGCAGGTGACAAAAGTCGTCTTTCCGCCGGTGCGCTTGAAAACGGAATCGATGTCAAGGCTCGTAGGCTCGTCGTGACCGGTCCAGGCCTTGTGCTGGTAGCACAAGCGATTCACGAAGCGCTTGCCTTCCTGGCCAAGCGGCTTGTGATGACGCAGGAAATCCAGCTTGGCTTGCAACACGGCGCACTTGCAACGCCGTACCTCGGTCAAGGTCACTACGTGCGTAAAGCGCCACTGTGCGTGATCGCAGGCCTGCTGCGGATGGATGCTCGGAAGTTGGCAGTCATCGCCCATAAGCAGCAAGAGAAGCTGCTTGCCCGTCGCGCAGAACATGGCATGCAGGCGCCCATACTCCTCCGCGCTGAGTTGCAAGGCTTCGTCAATGACCACCATATCGTACTCGGCCATGAGAGCAAGGGTCTCAGATTCTGGCCGGTAGAACAGGAAGGCGCCGGCGCAAGTGTCGACGTGAATGTCGGGGTGGCGCTGGCGCATGCGACAGGCCAGCTGTCCCGTCGGCAGCGCGTAGAGCACACGGTGGCCCCGCCGCACAGCCACGCGGACGAGGTAGTCGGCGACGAACGTCTTGCCCGTGCCAGGGCCGCCCATGCACACCAAGACGCTGTTCTGCTCCTCGAGGCGCAAAGCCGCATCATCGGCCTCTGCCGGTGTCTGCGCGTCCTTCAAGGCTTGAATCAAATCCAAGCGTTCTAGCGCGCACCGCTCCAAGACTTGCTGCTGTCGGTTGAAGCAGGGACGCTCCAGCCCGAGGGCACCCGGCAGCGCAGGCAAGGCTGGCTCGGGCACTTCGTCTTCGAGCGAGATGTCGCCACGTAGGTATTGATCCACGATCTCACGCTGAGCATCCAGCAGAGCGAGGAAGTTAGCTATGGTCGCGTCCTTGTGAGCGGCCAGCTGCATGTCCTCCCGCACCCGTGCTCTGTCCGTCCAGTAATCTCCAGCGGCGCGCCAGGCGCAAGCGAAGAGCTGATAGCGCGTGGGGATCTTCGCGACGATATCGGGGTACAAGAAGTCTGCGGCGCTGCGGAAAGGCACGTGCAGCATCAGCCACTGACCAAAGTACTTGTCGCTGAACACGCTCACCGTCTCCGCTGCCACGACCTTCTCGCCGAACGTCGTCTGCACACTCGCGAACTCACCCAAGTCCAGCGCCGAGTCAGCAGCGGCATGGAGCTTTTGGATCCAAGCGACCACTTCTCCAGCAGCATTGGTTTTCCGAAGATACTCGAGGAGCGACATGCTGTCACTGCGCCAGAGACATTCCTCGTACCGGCGCACGAACTCCGGCTGCGCGTCCATCGTCGGCCAGGGTGCTACGATCGGCAGCATGGTGCCTCCCAGTGCAAAATCAGGAAAGAGCTGCTTGAACAGTGTCACCCACATTTCGGGCTCGGACGGATGCAGCGTGCTGAGGATGCGGAGAGCCATCCCGTATCCCGAGACGCCGGTGTCGGCCAGCATCTCGTTGTGGAAGCTGCTGCTGAACTTGACATTATAAGTGGCAACATACCGCATGAGCAGCCCGCGACCGCCGGATCCTGCCGCCTGCGGTGCTATGTTGTCCACATGGCCTTTGAGTATATCCACTTCCTCCAGCCCGTACGCGCGGACACCCTGCTCTGCGTCCTGCTCCGTGTGGTGCAAACGCACGACTTCATCGACCGTGTCCCAACAGGACGGCGCTTCGTGCACCGGCCAGCCGCTGCCACTGTAGCTCAGCTGGTCCAGGACATACCCGCAGAGTGGGTGGCCTTCCGGTGGCGGGGTTGCGTGCAACTTCTCGTGCAACCGCACAGCCTCCGGCTTTTCCACGAAGAGGACTGCGTGCAGATGAACGGCACCGCGGCCGTGGTAGGCCTGAGTCCCGGCCTTTCGTTTGCCGTCCTGATACTCCAGGCGCGCGGCAAAGTTGATGCGACGACCGCCGCACAGGAGATGCTTTTGCCAAAGCTTGCTGCTTTCGCCGTGCTTTCGACTGCCTCCTGCTACCCACTCGCGCAGGAGCTCCAGAAGGATGTGGGCAAGATGCAGCGTCTCCGGGCCCTCCAGGTGTAGCCTGGAACGAAGCAAGTGGCGCATCTGATGGAGCAAGGCCTTGTGATAAGGTGCGCTCCATTCGTATGGTGCCCATGTTTTGAAGAGGAATGGGTAGCCGCATTGCCGTTGCAAGTCGATAACGGCAGCATGCCGCACGGCCCAATATGCCGGCGTGAAGGGCGAGCCCTTGAGCAAAATACGCATGGGCAAGTGGGGCTGCACGTGTCGCTTGCTGCCGAAGTCACTCCAGAAGGCTAAGTCAAACACGTATTGCAGCAGTTCGTACTCGCCAGCGTAATCCAGGATCGGCCCAAGAACCTTCTTCAGAAAACTGCGGCGCAGGCTGCCGCGGCCGGGGTCGTCTTCACGTTCTCGGTCGTCGTCGTCGCTGTCTTCCTGGAGCAAACCCTGGCGCTGGAGCCGTCGGGCATCCGTCGCTCTTTCCACAGACTCGCACAAGTCGGAGTTGTAGTACAGGTCTGGCCACAGGGCGGTTTCTATGCCGGGAGTTTCCAGCGTCTGCAGCGGGCGGCGACGAGCTGCGTCCGTCGGCATCGGATGGTCTCGGAGGAAACGACGATGCTGCGTCACAAAGTTCCTATACTCGGAACACGAGTGTTGCATCAAGAACTTGAAAGCTTTCTTCGCCTTCGTTCGCCACGTCCGGTGCTCGAGCGCAGCAATTTTCGCTTCCACATCCGTGTCGGACCAAAGCAAGCGCAGCAAGGCGGTGTGCACACGATATCCGTGAGGTGGACGTTGATACGGCCCACAGTCGATGTCGAAGGGTCGAAGGGCAGCCACCACATCATGGCAGAGACCCCGCAGCTGCCGTGGTACGCGGTCAACGGTGGGCACCGACTCCACGCCGTCGCGGCGACACCACCGACAGTTGGGCACGGCCGGATCGGCCACGCGGCGCGTGTCCACTTCTTTGAGATGCCTCGGCTCCAAAGAAAAGCATCTTTCGCAGATAGCCCAAGCTCCTTGCTTACACCAGTCCTCCAGCATGGTTGCAAACGGAGTAATGGCTGCACGAGGAAGGCCGGTGTCGTTGTCGGCAACGTCTCGAACGCTTTCCGCCGCTTCGTCCGTCCAGGGGTTGGACCACTGCCGACCGGTGTGGCGCACTTCTTTCGGCCGTGCGGGAAAGAACTTCCGGCGCACACGCACACGGTCTTCCGTCGCCCGCCGACTGTACGTAGCAGCCTCTGCTTCGGGCAGCGCCGGCCCTCGCAGGCGTCTTCTGTGAGCTAGCAGCCGCTCCCATCGCTGCTCCACGGTCTCCGCCGCGGCTCGCCGACGCGCCTGCCGCACCCGGCGCGGCTCCTGCGCCAGCCTAGCCTCGAAGTCTTCCAAGTGCTCTGCCGGAATTGCTTTGAAGGCTTCGGCCACAAGGTCAGGATCCGCGGCTTGACGCTTTCGCAGCATTGCCAGTATGCGTCCCCGGCCTTGCGACGTCGCGACAGCCGTGCGCAGGCTTGCTGCCGAATGGAAGGCAGCTGAAAGCCCCAGGACTTGCAGCGGCCAGTGCAGACGCACCGTCTCGGGCAAGCGGCCGACGGCTTTGTGGTAGACAGCTTTGTCATGACCCCAGAAGAATCGCAAGGAACGACTCAGCTGACCGCGCCCGCGCTCGCTCGTCAAGCCAGCCTGAAGCAGTGCTTCATTACACCAGGGACATTGCCGCGAGACATCCTGGTACCGAGCTCGCTGTCCAGAGACCCGCGTCGAAAAGCAACATGGGTCGCCAGGACGACCGTGGCAGAGGTTGGTCGTCGCCGCAGAAGCAGCAGGCCGCTGGATAGGCCGTGCGGCAGGTTGTCCCTCCACGATCGGCACGATGGGTTGTTCCATCACTCGGCGACGGCGCGGCCAGGCCGCAGCAGGCTCGGCAGCAGGCTCGGCAGCAGCGGGGCGTTTCGACATGGTGGTCGGTCACGGCGAGCAACTATGCACGTCTCTGTGAACCAACAGCGGACATAATGCTGGAAGCCAGACTCAAAGACACCCTGCAGAACACAATGTTGGCTCCTAAGCAGTCACCCAATGCAATCAATCCAGCTACAGAAGAAAAGCCTGGGAAGGCGTAACTGTCATGTCTGAGGCGCGCCGGAGGAGCACAAGTCTAGCAGCAGTAGCAGCAATAGCGGCAGTAGCAAAAGTACTTGAAGGGTATGGTCACAAATAAAAGAAGCCAGCATTAGCAGTACGAGCAGTAGCAGCAGCAGCAGCAGCAGCAGCAGCAGTCGGAGCAGTAGTATAGGAGTTGGAAATAGTGAATAGCGGTACGAGACAGAAGCGAACCAAAAACGTATCACAAGTAGCAGGTATGCAACAAAGAAAAGAGAGCAGGAAGCTCACAGGGAAATTGGCCAGGCATATGTGCGTCCCGACCAGCACGGCCCTTACGGGAAAGCTTTCTTACAGGAGCTCGTTGCGGTCCCTTCACAGAGAAGGACGACGAAGAGAACCGTAAAGCGGCCTCTTACGAAAAGGCCTTTTCAGGAAAGCTTACGAAAAGAGTCTGTTACGGCACAACTCCAACCCAGAAGGCCCCTTGCAAGAAGGGTCGGGAGTGGTCCTTCATAGAGAAGGACGACGAAGAGGATACGGTGTCGTGGCCTCCTGGGTCCCCTCACAGAGAAGAACGACGAAGTGCCCGTGAGAGCCCTTGCGGGAAGGGTCCCTTACCAGAGAGCTCCTTGTTGCAGGCAGTGGTTTCCGGAGTGGGTCCAGATTGGACGCACGCGGTCTCCTTCATTAAGAAGGCAAACATAGCCGGCCGAACCGACCGTCCGTACGGGCAGTGAGTCCAAGGCAAAGATAAGGGCTCAAATTAGACGTAAGGTGTCTCCTTCATTAAGAAGGCAAAGATAGGGGAGCGCCGTCCGTGCGGGCAGTGGGGGCCGCCCGAACCGGCCGTCCGTACGGGCAGTGGGGTCCTCCTTCAGTAAGAAAGCAAAGATAAGGTATGGGCCCAAATTGGACGTAAGGTGTCTCCTTCATTAAGAAGGCAAAGATAGGGGAGCGCCGTCCGTACGGGCAGTGGGGGCCGCCCGACCCGGCCGTCCGTACGGGCAGTGGTGGTCTCCTTCATTAAGAAGGCAAAGATAAAGGAGCACCGTCCGTACGGGCAGGGGGCCGCCCGAACCGGCCGTCCGTACGGACAGTGGGGTCCTCCTTCATTAAGAAAGCAAAGATAAGGGAGCGCCGTCCATACGGGCAGTGGGGGCGGCCCGAACCGGCCGTCCGTACGGACAGTGGGGTCCTCCTTCATTAAGAAGCCAAAGATAGGGGAGCGCCGTCCGTACGGGCAGTGGGGGCCGCCCGAACCGGACAGTGGGGTCCTCCTTCATTAAGAAGGCAAAGATAAGGTATGGGCCCAAATTGGACGTAAGGTGTCTGCTTCATTAAGAAAACGATGGGGGAGCGCCGTCCGCGCGGCGCCGTCCGTACGGGCAGTGGGGGCCGCCCGAACCGGCCGTCCGTACGGGCAGTGGTGGTCTCCTTCATTAAGGATTAGGGAGCGCCGTCCGTACGAGCAGTGGGGGCCGCCCGAACCGGCCGTCCGTACGGGCAGTGGGGTCCTCCTTCAGTAAGAAGGCAAAGATAAGGTATGGGCCCAAATTGGACGTAAGGTGTCTCCTTCATTAAGAAAGCAAAGATAGGGGAGCGCCGTCCGCACGGCGCCGTCCGTACGGGCAGTGGGGGCCGCCCGAACCGGCCGTCCGTACGGGCAGTGGTGGTCTCCTTCATTCAGAAGGCAAAAATAAAGGAGCGCCGTCCGTACGGGCAGTGGGGGGCGTCCGTACGGGCAGTGGTGGTCAGCTTCATTAAGAAGGCAACGATAAGGGAGCGCTGTCCGTACGGGCAGGGGGCCGCCCGAACCGGCCGTCCGTACGGACAGTGGGGTCCTCCTTCATTAAGAAGGCAAAGATAAGGGAGCGCCGTCCGTACGGCCGCCCGAACCGGCCTCCTTCATTGAGAAGGCAAAGATAAGGGAGCGCCGTCCGTACGGGCAGTGGAGGCGGCCCGAACCGGCCGTCCGCCCGAACCGGCCGTCCGTACGGGCAGTTCCGAAATGCGGCCGCGGACCCGCCGTCCATACGGGCACCTGGTGCGCAGGGCCGTCCATACGGGCAGTGTGCAAGGTCAGCCTGCGAGCTGCCAAGGGGTGCACACGGCCCCGTCCGTACGGACAGTGGGGCCGTCCGACACGCCCGTCCGAACCGGCCGTTCGTACGGGCAGTGCGGTCCAGCCTGCGGATTGCGAAACGCGGCCGTCCACGGGGACTGGGGCGTACAGGGGGCGCAAACAGCCTGCAGATGGGGCCAGCCGGTGACCGCCAGGGAGCATACGCGGCGCCGTCCGTAGGGACAGTGGAGTCCAGCTTCAAAACTTCACAAGCCAGTTAGGATCCCGACCCTAGGGTTTAGGGTAATAAAATATACTATTATTTATTTTCACGCTGGAAGCGTAATGCACCCTCCGAAGTGAACGAATGCGGGTACGGAGCACGAAGCTAACTCTTCGCGCTCAAGCTGCAGGCAGTAAGCATCCGTTCTTGAAACGGATGCCGGTGCTCAGCGCACGTGCGCTGGTGATGCCATAGGCTCCTAGACGTCGCGACAGGCATCACCAGCTTTAGTTTAGGGTCTAGGGTTTAGGGTTTAGGGTTTAGGGTTTCCCATCGTAAGCGGCGCGCCTCGACCCAGAGGGTCGCGGGGCGGCGCGCCGAGCTGGACGCGACATCCCACCCCAAGACCACCCAGACATCAAATCTATTAGGGTTTAGGGTTTTTATAAGAGATATCTAGCAAATTGGCTTTGAAGTTGAAATATTCACCGCAAGCCATTTTTTCGGAGAGTAACTAACCAAGCAACGTTTTTTTTTGCGACAGTGTAACAACTAACCGCCAAGCAAGCGTTTTTAGGGCAGATATTGTCGAGGCGCTTCGAATCGCAGCCACGCGGCGCGGCGTAGGCGGAAAAGTGCGGGAAGAATTTCCGCGGCTTCGCAGGAAGAGGAAGTCGTGAGCTTCCCTTCACTTGGCCGGGATCAAATGGTCGGCATTGACAATACCACCTATAAGGTAATTTTCGTCCCTGGCCACCCTGGATAGCGCAACGTAGGCTGCGGCACGGCACCACCGGCGGTTGAGCCAAAGTGTGACATGCTCCAGTTCCGCACCTTGGAATTTGTAGATGGTGCCTGCGTAGCCCGTACGGATCGGGAAATACACGGCACGCCCGCAGGGAACGTCCGTGTCCGTGTACCGATAAATGGCCAGTCTCCTGCCTGTTTGTGTGCGGACGCGTAGGCAGCCGGTGGTCGGAAAGTAGCCTTCCACCGTGGCCACCATGCCATTCACGTAATGGTTCTCTTTGTCTCGATTGCGAGTCAAGACAACCCTGAGGCCTCTGTACAGCTGGACTGGGTTCGGCAGCGGGGCACGATCGCGACGAAGGTTGCCGTATTCGTCGAAGTTCTCTTCATTGTCGTCATAGTCGCCCGGAATCTCAGCCAAAAGCTGCTGCTTCCGGTTGGAAAAGAGAACTTGTACGGCCAGGGCATTGATGCTAGCGGCCCCCCTCTTGGTGCAGGTGACAAAAGTCGTCTTTCCGCCGGTGCGCTTGAAAACGGAATCGATGTCAAGGCTCGTAGGCTCGTCGTGACCGGTCCAGGCCTTGTGCTGGTAGCACAAGCGATTCACGAAGCGCTTGCCTTCCTGGCCAAGCGGCTTGTGATGACGCAGGAAATCCAGCTTGGCTTGCAACACGGCGCACTTGCAACGCCGTACCTCGGTCAAGGTCACTACGTGCGTAAAGCGCCACTGTGCGTGATCGCAGGCCCTGCTGCGGATGGATGCTCGGAAGTTGGCAGTCATCGCCCATAAGCAGCAGAGAAGCTGCTTGCCCGTCGCCAGAACATGGCATGCAGGCGCCCATACTCCTCCGCGCTGAGTTGCAAGGCTTCGTCAATGACCACCATATCGTACTCGGCCATGAGAGCAAGGGTCTCAGATTCTGGCCGGTAGAACAGGAAGGCGCCGGCGCAAGTGTCGACGTGAATGTCGGGGTGGCGCTGGCGCATGCGACAGGCCAGCTGTCCCGTCGGCAGCGCGTAGAGCACACGGTGGCCCCGCCGCACAGCCACGCGGACGAGGTAGTCGGCGACGAACGTCTTGCCCGTGCCAGGGCCGCCCATGCACACCAAGACGCTGTTCTGCTCCTCGAGGCGCAAAGCCGCATCATCGGCCTCTGCCGGTGTCTGCGCGTCCTTCAAGGCTTGAATCAAATCCAAGCGTTCTAGCGCGCACCGCTCCAAGACTTGCTGCTGTCGGTTGAAGCAGGGACGCTCCAGCCCGAGGGCACCCGGCAGCGCAGGCAAGGCTGGCTCGGGCACTTCGTCTTCGAGCGAGATGTCGCCACGTAGGTATTGATCCACGATCTCACGCTGAGCATCCAGCAGAGCGAGGAAGTTAGCTATGGTCGCGTCCTTGTGAGCGGCCAGCTGCATGTCCTCCCGCACCCGTGCTCGGTCCGTCCAGTAATCTCCAGCGGCGCGCCAGGCGCAAGCGAAGAGCTGATAGCGCGTGGGGATCTTCGCGACGATATCGGGGTACAAGAAGTCTGCGGCGCTGCGGAAAGGCACGTGCAGCATCAGCCACTGACCAAAGTACTTGTCGCTGAACACGCTCACCGTCTCCGCTGCCACGACCTTCTCGCCGAACGTCGTCTGCACACTCGCGAACTCACCCAAGTCCAGCGCCGAGTCAGCAGCGGCATGGAGCTTTTGGATCCAAGCGACCACTTCTCCAGCAGCATTGGTTTTCCGAAGATACTCGAGGAGCGACATGCTGTCACTGCGCCAGAGACATTCCTCGTACCGGCGCACGAACTCCGGCTGCGCGTCCATCGTCGGCCAGGGTGCTACGATCGGCAGCATGGTGCCTCTCAGTGCAAAATCAGGAAAGAGCTGCTTGAACAGTGTCACCCACATTTCGGGCTCGGACGGATGCAGCGTGCTGAGGATGCGGAGAGCCATCCCGTATCCCGAGACGCCGGTGTCGGCCAGCATCTCGTTGTGGAAGCTGCTGCTGAACTTGACATTATAAGTGGCAACATACCGCATGAGCAGCCCGCGACCGCCGGATCCTGCCGCCTGCGGTGCTATGTTGTCCACATGGCCTTTGAGTATATCCACTTCCTCCAGCCCGTACGCGCGGACACCCTGCTCTGCGTCCTGCTCCGTGTGGTGCAAACGCACGACTTCATCGACCGTGTCCCAACAGGACGGCGCTTCGTGCACCGGCCAGCCGCTGCCACTGTAGCTCAGCTGGTCCAGGACATACCCGCAGAGTGGGTGGCCTTCCGGTGGCGGGGTTGCGTGCAACTTCTCGTGCAACCGCACAGCCTCCGGCTTTTCCACGAAGAGGACTGCGTGCAGATGAACGGCACCGCGGCCGTGGTAGGCCTGAGTCCCGGCCTTTCGTTTGCCGTCCTGATACTCCAGGCGCGCGGCAAAGTTGATGCGACGACCGCCGCACAGGAGATGCTTTTGCCAAAGCTTGCTGCTTTCGCCGTGCTTTCGACTGCCTCCTGCTACCCACTCGCGCAGGAGCTCCAGAAGGATGTGGGCAAGATGCAGCGTCTCCGGGCCCTCCAGGTGTAGCCTGGAACGAAGCAAGTGGCGCATCTGATGGAGCAAGGCCTTGTGATAAGGTGCGCTCCATTCGTATGGTGCCCATGTTTTGAAGAGGAATGGGTAGCCGCATTGCCGTTGCAAGTCGATAACGGCAGCATGCCGCACGGCCCAATATGCCGGCGTGAAGGGCGAGCCCTTGAGCAAAATACGCATGGGCAAGTGGGGCTGCACGTGTCGCTTGCTGCCGAAGTCACTCCAGAAGGCTAAGTCAAACACGTATTGCAGCAGTTCGTACTCGCCAGCGTAATCCAGGATCGGCCCAAGAACCTTCTTCAGAAAACTGCGGCGCAGGCTGCCGCGGCCGGGGTCGTCTTCACGTTCTCGGTCGTCGTCGTCGCTGTCTTCCTGGAGCAAACCCTGGCGCTGGAGCCGTCGGGCATCCGTCGCTCTTTCCACAGACTCGCACAAGTCGGAGTTGTAGTACAGGTCTGGCCACAGGGCGGTTTCTATGCCGGGAGGTTCCAGCGTCTGCAGCGGGCGGCGACGAGCTGCGTCCGTCGGCATCGGATGGTCTCGGAGGAAACGACGATGCTGCGTCACAAAGTTCCTATACTCGGAACACGAGTGTTGCATCAAGAACTTGAAAGCTTTCTTCGCCTTCGTTCGCCACGTCCGGTGCTCGAGCGCAGCAATTTTCGCTTCCACATCCGTGTCGGACCAAAGCAAGCGCAGCAAGGCGGTGTGCACACGATATCCGTGAGGTGGACGTTGATACGGCCCACAGTCGATGTCGAAGGGTCGAAGGGCAGCCACCACATCATGGCAGAGACCCCGCAGCTGCCGTGGTACGCGGTCAACGGTGGGCACCGACTCCACGCCGTCGCGGCGACACCACCGACAGTTGGGCACGGCCGGATCGGCCACGCGGCGCGTGTCCACTTCTTTGAGATGCCTCGGCTCCAAAGAAAAGCATCTTTCGCAGATAGCCCAAGCTCCTTGCTTACACCAGTCCTCCAGCATGGTTGCAAACGGAGTAATGGCTGCACGAGGAAGGCCGGTGTCGTTGTCGGCAACGTCTCGAACGCTTTCCGCCGCTTCGTCCGTCCAGGGGTTGGACCACTGCCGACCGGTGTGGCGCACTTCTTTCGGCCGTGCGGGAAAGAACTTCCGGCGCACACGCACACGGTCTTCCGTCGCCCGCCGACTGTACGTAGCAGCCTCTGCTTCGGGCAGCGCCGGCCCTCGCAGGCGTCTTCTGTGAGCTAGCAGCCGCTCCCATCGCTGCTCCACGGTCTCCGCCGCGGCTCGCCGACGCGCCTGCCGCACCCGGCGCGGCTCCTGCGCCAGCCTAGCCTCGAAGTCTTCCAAGTGCTCTGCCGGAATTGCTTTGAAGGCTTCGGCCACAAGGTCAGGATCCGCGGCTTGACGCTTTCGCAGCATTGCCAGTATGCGTCCCCGGCCTTGCGACGTCGCGACAGCCGTGCGCAGGCTTGCTGCCGAATGGAAGGCAGCTGAAAGCCCCAGGACTTGCAGCGGCCAGTGCAGACGCACCGTCTCGGGCAAGCGGCCGACGGCTTTGTGGTAGACAGCTTTGTCATGACCCCAGAAGAATCGCAAGGAACGACTCAGCTGACCGCGCCCGCGCTCGCTCGTCAAGCCAGCCTGAAGCAGTGCTTCATTACACCAGGGACATTGCCGCGAGACATCCTGGTACCGAGCTCGCTGTCCAGAGACCCGCGTCGAAAAGCAACATGGGTCGCCAGGACGACCGTGGCAGAGGTTGGTCGTCGCCGCAGAAGCAGCAGGCCGCTGGATAGGCCGTGCGGCAGGTTGTCCCTCCACGATCGGCACGATGGGTTGTTCCATCACTCGGCGACGGCGCGGCCAGGCCGCAGCAGGCTCGGCAGCAGGCTCGGCAGCAGCGGGGCGTTTCGACATGGTGGTCGGTCACGGCGAGCAACTATGCACGTCTCTGTGAACCAACAGCGGACATAATGCTGGAAGCCAGACTCAAAGACACCCTGCAGAACACAATGTTGGCTCCTAAGCAGTCACCCAATGCAATCAATCCAGCTACAGAAGAAAAGCCTGGGAAGGCGTAACTGTCATGTCTGAGGCGCGCCGGAGGAGCACAAGTCTAGCAGCAGTAGCAGCAATAGCGGCAGTAGCAAAAGTACTTGAAGGGTATGGTCACAAATAAAAGAAGCCAGCATTAGCAGTACGAGCAGTAGCAGCAGCAGCAGCAGCAGCAGCAGCAGTCGGAGCAGTAGTATAGGAGTTGGAAATAGTGAATAGCGGTACGAGACAGAAGCGAACCAAAAACGTATCACAAGTAGCAGGTATGCAACAAAGAAAAGAGAGCAGGAAGCTCACAGGGAAATTGGCCAGGCATATGTGCGTCCCGACCAGCACGGCCCTTACGGGAAAGCTTTCTTACAGGAGCTCGTTGCGGTCCCTTCACAGAGAAGGACGACGAAGAGAACCGTAAAGCGGCCTCTTACGAAAAGGCCTTTTCAGGAAAGCTTACGAAAAGAGTCTGTTACGGCACAACTCCAACCCAGAAGGCCCCTTGCAAGAAGGGTCGGGAGTGGTCCTTCATAGAGAAGGACGACGAAGAGGATACGGTGTCGTGGCCTCCTGGGTCCCCTCACAGAGAAGAACGACGAAGTGCCCGTGAGAGCCCTTGCGGGAAGGGTCCCTTACCAGAGAGCTCCTTGTTGCAGGCAGTGGTTTCCGGAGTGGGTCCAGATTGGACGCACGCGGTCTCCTTCATTAAGAAGGCAAACATAGCCGGCCGAACCGACCGTCCGTACGGGCAGTGAGTCCAAGGCAAAGATAAGGGCTCAAATTAGACGTAAGGTGTCTCCTTCATTAAGAAGGCAAAGATAGGGGAGCGCCGTCCGTGCGGGCAGTGGGGGCCGCCCGAACCGGCCGTCCGTACGGCATGGTGTCCTCCTTCAGTAAGACGCAAAAATAAAAAGGGATCTGGCCCAATTGGGACGTACGGTGTCTCCTTCATTTAATAGGGCAAAGAGAGGGGAGCGCCGTCCGTACGGGCAGTGGGGGCCGCCCGACCCGGCCGTCCGTACGGGCAGTGGTGGTCTCCTTCATTAAGAAGGCAAAGATAAAGGAGCACCGTCCGTACGGGCAGGGGGCCGCCCGAACCGGCCGTCCGTACGGACAGTGGGGTCCTCCTTCATTAAGAAAGCAAAGATAAGGGAGCGCCGTCCATACGGGCAGTGGGGGCGGCCCGAACCGGCCGTCCGTACGGACAGTGGGGTCCTCCTTCATTAAGAAGCCAAAGATAGGGGAGCGCCGTCCGTACGGGCAGTGGGGGCCGCCCGAACCGGACAGTGGGGTCCTCCTTCATTAAGAAGGCAAAGATAAGGTATGGGCCCAAATTGGACGTAAGGTGTCTGCTTCATTAAGAAAACGATGGGGGAGCGCCGTCCGCGCGGCGCCGTCCGTACGGGCAGTGGGGGCCGCCCGAACCGGCCGTCCGTACGGGCAGTGGTGGTCTCCTTCATTATAAGGATTAGGGAGCGCCGTCCGTACGAGCAGTGGGGGCCGCCCGAACCGGCCGTCCGTACGGGCAGTGGGGTCCTCCTTCAGTAAGAAGGCAAAGATAAGGTATGGGCCCAAATTGGACGTAAGGTGTCCTCCTTCATAAGAAAACAAGATAGGGGAGCGCGTCCGCCCACGGCGCCGTCGTACGGGCAGTGGGGCCTCCCAACCGGCCGTCCGTACGGGCAGTGGTGGTCTCCTTCATTCAGAAGGCAAAAATAAAGGAGCGCCGTCCGTACGGGCAGTGGGGGGCGTCCGTACGGGCAGTGGGGGTCAGCTTCATTAAGAAGGCAACGATAAGGGAGCGCTGTCCGTACGGGCAGGGGGCCGCCCGAACCGGCCGTCCGTACGGACAGTGGGGTCTTCCTTCTTAAGAAGGCAAAGAAAGGGAAGCGCCGTCCCCGTACGGCCGCCCGAAACCGGCCTCCTTCAATTGAGAAGGCAAGATAAGGGACGCCGTCCGTACGGCAGTGGAGGCGGCCGAACCGTCCGTGTCCCGCCCGAACCTGGCCGTCCTTACGGGCAGTTTTTCCGAATGCGGCCGCGGCCGCCGTCCATACGGGCACCTGGGTTATCAGTGCCGTCCATACGGGGCATTGTGCAAGGTCAGCCTGCGAGCGGCCAAGGGTGCCACACGGCACCGGTCCGTACGGACAGTGGGGCCTTCGACACGCCCGTCCGAACCGGCCCGTTCGTTACGGGCAGTGCGGTCCACCTGCGGAGTGCGAAACGCCCGTCCGCACGGGGACTGGGGGCGTACAGGGGGAGGCGCAACAGCCTGCAGGTGGGGGGTCCAGCCCGTGCCTCCATGTGAGAACGCGGCGCCGTCCGTACGGACAGTGGGGTCCAGCTTCAAAACCTCACAAGCAAGTTAGGATCCGGACCCTAGGGTTTAGGGTATTACAATATACTATTATTTATTTGCACGCTGGAAGCGTAAATGCACCCTCCGAAGTGAACGAATGCGGGTACGGAGCACGAAGCTAACTCTTCGCGCTCAAGCTGCATGCAGTAAGCATCCGTTATTGAAACGGATGCCGGTGCTCAGCGCACGTGCGCTTGGTGATGCCATAGTCTCCTAGACGTCGCGACAGTGCCTCACCAGCTTAGTTTAGGGTTTAGGGTTTAGGGTTTAGGGTTTAGGGTTTAGGGTTCGACAGCGTAGCAGTCGCCCTAGTCAACTTGAGGTTGCCCTTCTTTCATAGGGGGGTGTTGTCTAAACCCAGAAACGAAATTTCGAAACGTAAACGTAGCCATCGCGATGGGTGGGTGGCCGGGGTGGGTGTTGGGTTGCGGGTTGATTGGTGGTGGGTGAAACCAGAAACTTCATGAAATTCTTTACGAATCGTAAATATTCACCACCGTGATCCTGGGGGGCGCTGCCCCCCAGACCCCCCGCCAGGACTCCTCGCCCTGCGGGGTCCAGCACTCGCTTGTTGCTGGACCGCGCCAGGGGGACACCCCCTAGAACCCCCGAAAAGAGTTTTCTTTTCTTTCAAACGTTTGGGCAGCCAGCAAAGGGCAGGCAGCAGGGAGCCAGGCAGGGCTGGGCCGGGCTGGTTTGAGCTGGGCGGGCGCCATGGGGCACCCCCTGGACCCTGAAAAGAATGTGGCGTTTGCCACGGACGGCAGAGGAACGGGTTTGGGGGCGGGGGCGGCGAGGGCCGGAGGGGGGGAGGGGGGGC